CACTCACCAGCGATGTGAGAGTGTGTGTGTGCCATTCTTATAGTGTGAGACTGATGAGGTGATGAGAGACAGGTGATTGCAATTGATAATGAGTCCGAGCAAAGGATTATGGGAAATGGAGTCCGGGGTGAATGGTAAAGGGTACAGGATGGGGTGCCCTCTAGTGGAGCTCGTGGGCACTCCAGCTAGAGATCGTGACAGTCTACTTGCATCATATTCATAATTATTTAAGTCACTCAAGTGCAAACACATACTGTATATGCATGATTTCTTTTTTATTGTCATGACAGCCAGCTTCAGGAATATACGAGATCCCTTCCTAGAAGTAATTTCCACAAAATTCCTTTAAATCATGAAACCATTACTTATAAATATTATTGTAAACGTTTTGGAAGTTTAAGGGATGTATCTTAGGAATTAATTTTTTCCAAAGTTATCTCTTAAAAAGACCACTTATTACTGTACAGAAGTAATATACTTTAAAAAACATACTTGAGTGAGAACTGAATGAAATGTAATGTAAAGTGTACCGCTGAATGTACTAACAAGAATTTATGGTAAACTAAAAAGAAATAAATACTTTAATGTTATTTCCACTAAAACTTGTGTCATGCATTACATATATAATTTAATATGCACATGTAAAGTGCACATTCAATACAGTTAAAGGGATAGTTCACCCAAAAATGAAAATTCTGTCAGTAATTGCTCACACTCATGTCGTTCCAAACCTGTAAATCATCTTCGGAACACAAATTAAGATATTTTTGATGAAATCCGAGAGCTTTCTGACCATGCATAGACAGCAAGAGAACTGCCACGACATAGTAATTAATTACAGAATTTTCATTTTTGGATGAACTATCCCTTAAAATTCACTTCTTTTTAACAAGAGACCTGATTAAGGCAATGATCTTAAACTGCTATTTCTACCTCATATCATCATTTAAAAGTGCTTTTGTTTATGTAACTTGATGTTGTCAGGTTGATTCAGTGATATTGAATCATATTTTTGAATTGAATAAAACCCAGTTCATTTAGATGATACCACAAGAAGCATTTTTATGTCACCTGACAGAACTGGCAGTGTTATTTTGGGAAGAAATCAAAATGTATTGTTAATATCTATATTTATATAGAATGCACACATCATGCCAAAGCCACATACATTCTATGTATGTGATTTTATAGATTTATTAAAGCTGTCATATCTGGCATAGGGTTTCATGATCATGCTGCGTTGGGAGACATTTTTGAATTATTATTATTGATATAAATTATTGATTTTTGTAAAATACAAAGCTTTGTTCCAGTAAAAATTGGATTGGAAATCATTTTGTTGCTGATGTGATGAAAAAACATCCACCCACCCATTGGAACTGCATCGGATGTGTTGAACAAATTGATTTACAACACAATTGCTCTAAGAATGAGATGGAGAGCAGGACTGAAGTAGATTCATCATTGTCTCTCAATATTAGCCATTCACAAATCCCATTCATGCTAAATTGTGGATTTTTCATTTGATATGCAAATCCAGTGGTTCCAAAGCACGTGTCTCCATTCTGCTGTTTGACAACAATGTGATTGCAAAACAACAGACCAATGCTATAAATAATAAGCCTGTAAGAGCCATCAGCACACAACAGGCATGAACTTCATAGTCACATCCTATTGGCACCTATGGTTCCATAAAGTACATTTAACATCCATAGAACTTTTTCATTCCACAAAAGATTCTAGGGAGAAAAAAAAAGGTTTGTTAGATTATTAAAATGTTCTTCACACTAAGAAAAAATGGTTATTTTAAGAACCGATCATGCAAATGTTCTTTGGAAAACAAAAATGGTTATTTTATGGCATCACTGTGAAAACCCCCTTCTGGAACCTTTTTTTTTTATGAGTTTAGAGACACACATCTCTATACTAAAATCGCAAACATGTGACAACCAATTTTGTATCTAAATGTTAGCATGCAACTAATTTCTGCTCTGTTTTTACTACAAACATGAATGATACCTCAGATTCCATAGATTGTTGAAAAATGCCGCTTATTTTTCAAAGCTAACAGACTTACAAGTTCTCACCTGGCAGGTCATAAACAGGAACACCATAAACTTAAATTGAGGTGACCAGAATGTCATAGAGATTTAAAGGGTTAGTTCAACCAAAAATGAAAATTCTGTCATTAATTACTCACCCTCGTCACATCCTATTGGCACCTATGGTTCCATAAAGTACATTTAACATCCATGGAACTTTTTCATTCCACAAAAGATTCTAGGGAGAAAAAAAAAGGTTTGTTAGATTATTAAAATGTTCTTCACACTAAGAAAAAAAAGTGTTATTTTAAGAACCGATCATGCAAATGTTCTTTGGAAAACAAAAATGGTTATTTTATGGCATCACTATGAAAACCCCCTTCTGGAACCTTTTAGAGACACACATCTCTATACTAAAAAAGAAAACAAAAATAACGACTTTATTCCACATTTTCGTCTTTACTGCGTCACTTTGGATGCATGTTCACAACAGTACCATGACACGAGCGTGTGGCGGCACCGGCGCTGACCCAGCCACACGCTCGCATCATGATACTGTCATCAACGCGCGTCCACAAGTGAAGCAGTAGAGACGAAAATGTGGAATAAAGTCATTATTTTAGTTTTCTTTGTGCAAAAAAGTATTCTCATAGCTTCGTATCTTTACAGTTGAACCACTGATGTCACACGGACTACTTTGTCGATCATCTTGGTACTTTTCTGGACCTTGAACGTGGTAGTTACCTTGCTGTTTATGGGAGGGTCAGAGAGCCCTCATATTTCATCAAAAATATCTTACATTGTGTTCCGAAGATGAACGAAGGTCTTACGGGTTTCGAACAACACAAAGGTGAGTAATTAATTACAGAATTTTCATTTTTGGGTGAACTAACCCTTTAAGCTTACTGGAGCCAGTAAGCAACCACCTAGCAACCTTCCTGAACAACCCAGCAACCGCATAATGACCTGGCATGTTTTTACTCCTGGCATGTAACAACATTGCGCTTTGTCATTTTGCTAATATTTTTTCATTTTCTCCTGCATTCTTGAATAGCAGGATTCCTGATATGCTCTTGTTAGCTTGAGCAAACCATTTCAACAGTTTCAAACTGGTGTGTTAATCAGTGTGGTATGCAGTGTTATTTGGCTTTTATTTTAAAACCGCATTTCACACATTTTTTTTAAATATGGCACAGATAACAATGTGTTGTAATTGCATATGCTGCAAACATGCTGTAAAAATGATCAGCTGAGATGAATGCATGCTCTTAATAAGATTTTTAATTCAAGCAAACATCATCTTCCTGTGCTGTGTATGTGTATGTGTATGTGTGAAAACTTGTTTGTGTGTCTGCCAAATTTCTTCAGATATTCCTGTATTGCATGATGTCAGTTGCTCTGTCAGATGACAGGAGTTAGTATATCATTTCAAAAGGGGAATGAAAGAAACGGTAAATGCCTCTGAAATGATTGAATGATCTTTCTTATCATTCAGACTGATTTCTTTTTCTAAAACAAGCTTTTCTGACAGGAAGTAGAGAATATGCTCTTTATCCTTCATTTCACTGGAAATGGTCTAACAGAGATATTGCCTGGAATTGCACTTTCTCAACACCAAAGAAGTGATAGGACTAAAAGATTGCAAAGATGTCTGTTAGTTAAACATTACTGTTTATTTGTGTTTGAAACCAAATATGGAGCAAGATAATAAGAGAGAAATCCGGATGGGTGACACTGACACTGTTAAACATGGTCACTGTGGATTCCTCCACATACTGCTTTGTCATCAAATAGCCCACAGGAATGTACATGATCAGCAAGAGACCGTCTACCAATCAGAAGCAGAGGTGATGCCGGTCATGACAGAGCTCACCTTTAGGAGAAGTATTGCACTTCTTGGATATATGGTGAGGGTCCAAAAGTCAGAGACCAGTTGTGAAAATGCTTGTACTTTTTTTTTTCTAATTTAAAGTGCCCCTATTATGCCATTTTTAAGGTTGCTAATATTGTTTTATGAGTCTCCTAAAACAGGTTTACATGCATGCAAGGTCATAAAACACCTTAGTTTTCTCAAAAAATAGATTTAATTTTACCTCATTTCTAAATGATTCGTAAACAACTCGTGCGAAGCAGTTCAAAGAATCAGTCTCTCTAAACCCCTCCTTTCTGTGAGCCCTCACTGCTGTGATTGGTCAGATGGCGCAGTCCCTTGTGATTGGTCCAGAGCCGTACAGAGATTGGCTCTGGATTGGTTTACCGCGTACAGCGCGTGTTGGAAACAAAACGCCCATTGCCATGACGGAATGACAGCCCTGGAGACTTGTCAATACATAGAAAAGATGGTATCGATTGTACCTTACCAATTCTATCTGGAGTCTACCTCCAAAGAACGACCGGAGCAATTGAAAAGTTTGGGAACCCCTGCTCTAGAGTACAAAAGAGCAACTCTTTTCATCTCATTAAGAGATAAAATTGTCTACCTGCCTTTTTGATGGAATGAGAGTTTAGATGGTGAAATATAAATACCCAAAAGCATATTTGGTAACACTTTATTTCGATAGTCCACTTTAGACATTCTATTAACTATAAGTAACTTTGTAACTACATGTCAACTAATTCTCATTAATTTGCAACTACATGTCTACTAACTCTCAGAGTAGACTGTTAGGGTAGGTTTAGGGTAAGTAGAATAAGTTGACAAAGAAAGTTTTAGAAAATATTAAGCAGACAGTCTACTAATACTCTACTTACTGCTAGTTGACATGTAGTTGCAAAGTTACTTACTGTTAATAGAATGTCTAAAGTGGACTATCGAAATAAAGTGTTACCCATATTTATTATTAACGTGGATCTGAAAATTGATAAACAGAATAATAAATGCAAATTCATGTATATTACAACATGAATGAAAAGCAAGTAGTCACTAAAACACAAAATAAACATTTTTATTTAGTGCATATAAGAAATCATCACATCATGGAGCTTACATTGGTTTTATTTTTTTATTAAACTAAACTATGTTTGCACATGGGTAACCAAAAGTACACTGACCTAGGATATTGTTCTGGGCAAAAATTAAAAGTGTATTGCAACAGAGATCAGATGTCATAAATCTTTCTCCCTAAAGGCTGTCTCAAGACTGCATGCCCCAGGGTTGCTGTGGGAGAAGGGTGAGGTGGTTGTGTCGTAGTGTTCTCAGCTCTGTCAACCGTCCCAGGAGCCTAGCAAAGCGTCGCGGGTCTTGTGCCGTCCCCTGACTACAGCAGCAGCAAGCTCGGGACAAGAGCTCCAAAACAAACTCCTGTAAGTTCTCAACACAGCCCACCGCACGCAGAGACGGCCTGTCTGCTTCACAACAGGGAAGAAAAATGATCATTTGAACCGTCAAACCGTCATTTGAAGCGGTTCTATACACTCTTAATAATAAAGGTTTTTTATTAGCGTCAATGGTTCCATGAAGAACCTTTAACATCCATGGAATCTCTCAATTGCAAAAAAATAAATAAATCTTTATAGTGGAAAAATGTTCTTCACACTAAGAAAAAATAGTTCTGAAAGGTTCTTTGGGGAACCAAAAACTTTTAAAACTTTTATTTTGTAAGCTAAACTTTTGTCATTTGCTGTCTGACCTGAATATAGTGTTCTGAATATTGTGACATCACATGGAAATTAGTCACAATTTTGTTCATCATAATCCACAGACCTGAGCATAACACTGCAGTCGCTGTTAGAAGTGCATATTCAGCCTCCGTTACCGCAATAGTCTCCATGCTGTGGAGGAAATTTACCACAGACCTCAAGAACTCATCATTCAACCCTTAACAAAAATCAAAATCACAATATTAGTAGAGACAAAAACATTTAGACCGTATATACAGTTATATCAGTTGGATTAATCACTGCATGTAATGTGAGACTTTCCTGCTATGATTATCACTCTTCATTATAGATCACCTGAGTGTGTCAATGTCCTGATCCCAGTCTTGGACTCTGAAGTTCTCACCCAATCAGGGTTTGAGTTATTCAAATTTGCTGAGTATAAAGCTGGTGATAGAAAACACAGCAGTGAGTCATTATTGATCTATAATGTGTTGAGTTTTCAGTTTCAATTGACAATTTTAACGATGCTTTATGAGCACAATTTATTTATAGCACACGATTCAGCTAAGCTGTTAAAAAATCACATTCATAACTATTTAACTATTCATAAAAATGAAATTTCAATACGGATATAAAGATTAGGATCATGATTTTTTTGGTAGTAGTACAGCACATTGTGAGTCTATATTAGCACTGTTTGTTGTTGCTTTTGGAACTAGACACATGATGTCAGTCTTAACAGGCAGATTATGTAATAATGTATGTGATTACCAGTGCTAACAGTAGTGGGGTTCTCAGAGAACTGCTGAGCTAAGAGTAGGAACATGACTTCAACTGAAGAGCTGGACAGAAGAGTGTTCTGGTCAGAACTATCCAAAAGCTCAAACCCTAAACAAAAGATGACCACAAATTAGTTGTATTTAGAGGTGTGTGGTGTGATCTAAGAGAAGTTGGATGAAACTGACCAGGTACACTCCTTAAAAATTGCAAAAGCTTCTCTGTCTGAGGAGGAGTCAGATCTACACTGTTTGTCAAACTTGACCACAGAGGCACCTGGGAAAAGAAAAGAATGATGTCTTGTTATTATATATTATGGGCAGTATGTCTGTCTTCATTTTTAAAGTGCCCCTATTATGCCATTTTTAAGGTTGCTAATATTGTTTTATGCGTCTCCTAAAACAGGTTTACATGCATGCAAGGTCAAAAAACACGTTAGTTTTCTCAAAAAATAGATTTAATTTTACCTCATTTCTAAATGATTCGTAAACAACTCGTGCGAAGCAGTTCAAAGAATCAGTCTCTCTAAACCCCTCCTTTCCGTGAGCCTTCACTGCTGTGATTGGTCAGATGGTGCAGTCCTTTGTGATTGGTCCAGAGCCGTAGAGAGATTGGCTCTGGATTGGTCTACCGCATACAGAGCGTGTCGGAAACGAAACGTCCATTGCCATGACGGAATGACAGACCTAGAGACTTGTCAATACCATAGACTGTATAAAAACATGGACGTAGTGTCCGTGACGTCACCCGTAGGTTTCCGAAGAGCAAAGAGCCAGATTGTCATAGCAAAGTCAGAATTATCTCCTCTCCTAGGTTCACGAAACGGTCTTCCATAAAATGCATTGCTGTTCTGTTGTAAGTAATCTTAAAGATTGCAAGTAAACATGCTCGGATGACCTTTGACCTGCTTGGTTCTTGTCCATGTCGTGATCATCACTGTACGAGCTCTCCACTGAGACATATGGCCTCATTTCCACTGGCATCCATAGCAATTGCAATCAGAGATTCTCTGACCATTCAGGATGAACACAACCAACAAGATCTGTCCCCATGCTTTCACATTTTGTGTTTATCAAATGAAACACTGCCAAATGTGATCCCATATTCTCAGGTGATATTTGAAAGGACACATACTGTACATACAGTGCCTTCTAAAATGAACTCTTTAAGAACAGAGATGTACAAATGAACATGAATGTGTTTAGGTTCATAGAATATTGAATGAATACAATTCATTGCTGTATTTCTATGGCAGAATTTCATTGTAATCAAGGATCAACAAGCATGAAACACCATCCATGTTGATTACAGTCATTTTGTAATCAAATATGATTTGTATGTTTCAGCTTTTTTTATTATTATTATTGCACAGAGCATGTTAAAACTCCAAATGTTTCATGTAACTACATTTCAATTTCAATGTAAATATTTTGACTACATTCTTCCAGAAAATAAAGCACCCTTTTTTAATAATAAAACTATGTATTACATTGAATTGACTGAACCTGTAGCAAACTTACACCAATCTCACTTCTAGAAGTCATTCCAACTAGTTGATATTTTTAACTGTTTACTTATTAATGCTTTTATTTATTTAGAATATTATAGATGAAGGCCAGGTTTCCAGCGTAGTTTAGTGAGGTGTTGTGTAGTTGCTCTGAGTGACAAGGTCTTAAATCCTGCAAATTGTGCATTACATGGTTCACGCACATTTTATTATTTCTATGAGAGATCAGCAGATGATTTTGCGTGGTGCATTTCTTTAAATTGCATAAATGTGTCAGAATATGACTATAATAACAAAATGTTTGTATTACTGGAGACTACATGGCATTTTATCAGAAGCATAAGCAATAAAGTATATCAGCCTTCACAGACACAATGTTTATCGGGTATTATTTTAACTTTAAATGTGGCTGATTCCATATAAAGAGACTATACAGTCTCTAAAAATGGAATTTATATGCAAGCTCAGTTTCATGTGATTGATGATTTTCAGATGCCCTATTCATCCTATTGTCTGTTAATAATCTAGCCTTTCAAAAATCATCTGGTTTATGAGAATAATGAGACATGAGCGCAGTGCTGTCACGGCAGTGAGTGCCAGATGATAAGACATCATCTCACATTCTATAAAAAACTGAAATGCCCATATTCAAAACAGCCTCTATACCATGCATGTTTATCAGCTTATTTTCATTTATGTTAACATTTATTTTTTACGTAAAGTACACTTTTTATTTCACATTACTGGAATTCTTTAAAATAGGTGTCTTTGATCATGCAAACTATTGCTATTTTTATATTTGAAAGGAGTTTGTAATAGTAACTAACTTACTTTTATTAACTTTCAATCTGTTTTCCTTACACACTTCAAAAAGTAGTTTAGGGGTCCTGTTGCCACAACTTAATTAAATGCACGGTTGCAAGATATACATTTAAAAAAATAATGTGTTGGTTTAATTAAACCTTTGAAGTTGAAAACATTTTTTTGATTAATTCTGTTGACATAATAATGTTGATTGTTACATAATTTTAATAATGTGTGTATTTTTTTTTTTATTAAGTTCTTCTAGTTCATATATTTCTATTTCTCAGCATGCTTTGCATAGGACTTGAGATTAATTTGTTCCAGGGCCATGACTCCATTTATGAGTGAATTATGTGGAAACTAGTCGGAACAGCTTAATTTGAGTTATCAACTTAAAAATGTGTGTTTATGCTACAAATTATTACATTTTTCTAACTCAGCATAGTTTGTTGTTTGAACATGATTTCATTAGGAGTTGTTATAACTAAAAAAAAAATGTATGCAAACTTTTATGCATTTCTTTTTCTGAGCCAAAACATTTGTTTTCAAATTGTATGTACTTGTATGTTAAAGGGGTCTTGAACTGGCATTTTTATTATTTTGTACTGTTCTCTGGGGTCCACTTATAATGTTATCAAGATTTGTACATCAAAAAAAACATCATAATTTAGCAGTAATAGGCTGTTTTCTGTTCTGTTTTCGCTCTGTTTGAATAGGCGTGGTGGACTGTCGACTCGGAAGTAAACGCCCACTGCTATGATTGGCTAACAGTTGTGTATATTTTGACAGCCTACAGCCTTCATAGATTGACATTACTGTCGGATTCACTATAGTCGCACAGCATCGTCTTTTAGTTTCAGTATTTCTGAAAATCCTGCGTCGAATTGTGCCCTGTTTGTAAACGAATCCGCAGTCTTCTACTCTTTCCTAATGTTGAGATCAGAAGGAAGCAATGCATATTTCCACAACTTAGCACTGCACAGCGTCTTGTCATTTTCGGAGCATCTTTATCGTTTGATTTATGTGCAGACCAGCGTTAGCCTCTCTGGTTATTTACCTACTTCATGTGTGAATTGGTGGGCGGGGCTAAACAGGCAGTGATGTAGAAGCAGGCATTGATCATCTTCTGCGGAGGCGGAGTTTAGCCACACTATTACATCATAAAGTGGCAGATTGTCATTTTGGCAGATTGGCTTCAATATAAGCTGATTTGAGACTAACGAGAAAGTTTTGAAACTTACAGGATGTTATATAGTACAATGAACTCTTATATGTCAAAAGATCAAGGGAATTTTGATTTCTCAGTTCATGACCCCTTTAAATATAATGCTTTCGTTCAGATTTATATCTAGTAAGAAAGTAAATAGCACCTGTCAGCAGATGCTTTTATCCATAGCAAATTACGGTATAGTTATTACAGTGACAATCCTCCCTGGAGCAACCTGAGGTTATACACACACGCACACACACACACACACACACATTTTATTTTTCTATCATGGTCTAGCAATACCAGTAAGTGCACATGGGTTTTACCAATGAAACTAATATGTAAGATAAAAGGTTATTTTATTAGTCTCAATATAATAAAATCTTGGGAACACTTTAATTTAGTGGTTGACTGATAATGATTTTTTTATTTTTTTTCATCAAAACAGAGCAGGGTGACCGATGGCTGATATATGATATTACACTATTTGATATAAAAATATAAAAAAACATATGCATAACAATTGCTGAAAAGAAATGTACTGTATATTTATTTTACATAATATTTACTTAATTATAAAAAATAATTAGAAAATTAAGAAATATGATAATTAAATATATAAAAAATATATGCATAACAATTGCTGAAAAGAAATGTATATTTATTTTACATAATATTTACTTAATTATAAAAAATAATTAGAAAATTAAGAAATATGATAATTAAATGGAGAAAATATGTAAAATAAATAAATGAAAAATAAATCTGATGGCAACTTCGTAATTCTTTAATAAAAGTGTAAATGACAAAAAAGCTATTTGCCATTTCAAAGTGTATTTTTAGACAATGTTGGTTGATACAAATCATGCAATTACTCAAAATTAATCAATGTGCAATCTTAAATAAATAAAATATGATTAAAGAAAGAAGTACACGCTGTAACAAACAATGCACAGTGCACACTGGGAATCATGTTTTATCAAACAAAGGCAAGGTAGTGCTTTTTATATACAGCACACAGTGAATATGACATGAAAACGACAGTGTCAAATTGGATATACAACGGTGAAGCCTAGTTTGAAATCAAAGATTTAAACTTTGTCGATCATGAAAAACAATTTTGAAAAACAAACACAAGATATTTTTCCTTTGTGATTAACAATTAATGCGTTAGATGGATAATATGGAAAACCAGTAGTGCACACGTGCTCACACTCACTCGTTTTCCCATAAACAATCATACAGTGAGAAGCAGTCAATCCAGTGATCTAATGAGGGTGAGAGAGAGAGAGAGAGAGAGAGAGAGTATACAGGAGGAGAGCGAGACAGAGAGCGCTACGATGAGCTGAAGGCAGAGCTGGAGTAAGACTCTCAAGAAAGACAGCGGGAGGGGAACGAAGGTGGAGAGAGAGAGAGAGAGAGAGCTCCTCTGATAAATCCTACAGGAGCAGTCCGTCCACTCCGAAGGTGGGAGGGAGAGAGAGAGGTACAGAGCACGGGAACGTCAGAGTTGGAAGACAGAGTTGGTCCTGGTCTTTGCACCCTGTGCTCGGAGCAGATGGCAGCGCTCTCGTAGTGTGTTTTCTTCAGCTGCTGCAAGGTAACGGAGCATCACTGTCTCTTTCCCACACTGTATCAATGCCTGGATAAAGCTCTTTTCTTGCTTTGTGTGTGTTTGCCACTCCGTCTTTCTTAATTTTGAATTTAAGAGAAAGTGTATGTTTAAAGTTTTTTTTTCTACTATTTTAATCACCTTTTTGCCTTCACTGGTTCATTCCAGTGGTCTCACAGTGTGACAAATGAAGTTCAATTATTCCAATTACTTTGAGCTCATAAAAGCTGCATGCATAGTATTAAAAACCCATTAGAAAAATCAGTTTAAAGTAGATTTAGATGGAGTACAGCATGTTACACTGCAGAACTCGTCAACTTTCCGTTAAGTATCTCAGTTGCAAAAGCTGTTTGATTATATTTTAATCAGTTGTCATTGTGTAGCACACAAGTAACGAGCCAATGAAATGCATTTGACCAGAAGTGCAAATAGTAAAGGGAGTGAACTTTGAATGGCAGTATTGTGCAAATAATCAGTGTAGTGCATAATTGTAGTGCATTGCAATGTGGTTTATATAAAGGTCTATATATTAAGATTGTACATTGATTAATTTTGAATTGAAGTAATTGCATGATTTGTATCAACCAACATTGTCTAAAAATACACTTTGAAATGGCAAATAACATTGTTGTCATTGATGAGTATTACTGAATAGACCAAAACTGGCTTTAGAAATCAATACGTTTTATTTCCACGTCATTGCACATATTGAACAGTCATTTATTTTACATCTGAGCCAGATTTTGTGATGTAGGGCCCTTTAAAAATGAATTTAATTTTTACCAAATTCTGTTTCCCAATTTCTTTATTATGATTATTATTATTTTGGATTCAGATT